GTGTGCTTCTGAAACGGGTACTATGGTTGCAATGCAGGTCTCAAGGCCACTAGTCGAGAGGCGGAGGAACCAAGCCACCTAAATCGCCCACCACAGGTATCGACTCTATTGATTGTGGTCCTTGGGCTCTATCCATCATCTTAGCCATGAGATCGATGTGGTTCAGTATAGTCTCCGCGGATGGGACGTTTGTATCGGCTGGAGGGTTCTCCTTGCGCTCCACGCCCCATATGTCGGCCGGGATAGCGTCGGCCTCTCCATCCCACAGCGCAATGCGGATGGGCCATTCAAGGTGCCTCCACCATTTCGAACCCGTCTCGAACAGACTCACAAGGCCCATGACCTCTCGTCGAGCAACATCATCTAACCACCACACGTTGTCCATACGTTTAAGTAGCGCGAAGAAGCAGGCGAGAATGGCCAGGGCTCGAGGCCTCTTAGCCTCAACAAGTTCAACGTAACGCCGCGAAACGGTGGATGGAAGGGCCAGTGCTGAAGGAGCGTAGTGGTTTTTATGGGCCCAGTTGAGAACACAGACAGCATGGAAGTAACCTTGGTTAGTTGCCGCTCTGTTGTCTTCATCTTCTTGTTCCAGCTCTTCGTCCAAGTCATCGAGAAGATGGCCAAAGAAGGAGTCTGGGCCTAGCGGATTCAGATCGAGCATGAAGCCCGGCTGGGAGTCAATGACCACCTTGACAGTGGCGCTGTTACGGATCCACTGCCACGACGTAGCCACAATGGTCTTGACGCCTTGGAAAGCGTGAAACCAAGATAGGGGTAATGCATATCGACGGTGAGGTTCACTTGGATCCGACGGGTCGCCATCCTCCTTGACAAATAGCCGAGACGCCGTCGCCTGGAACGCAATGAGACATGAGGTCAGGAAGAGGGCGTCTGCGTTTTCTGCCGTAATGCCCTTGTTTAATGAGCGGCAGTACTCAGCCAAGGTGGACGCGGAATATGCGTGGGAGGCTTCGATCATGACCTTGTCATCGGGGTTCTTAAAGCGCAAATGTAAAGCGGCCACTGAGAGAACTGCGTCGATCAAGTAGGTCCGTCCCTCGAGGGCGAAGCGTGGGACATCCTTCTGCCAGATATCCGTACTGGCAGGAGAATTCATGACGAGAGTCTTGGAGGTGCTGGTGATGTATTGGTGCCATAGTTGAAACTCCAGAAGCCGGTCCCCTTGCCTGGTCATGGATGTGATGATGGGGACGGATGGTAGCGTGAGCGATGGCGTTGAGACCGTACTGGGGGGAGAAAGCCGCGAAGGCGATATTCGACGATTATCGTACGTGGACATAGCTGACGCTGATATCGCTGCCGTAGGCGCCATCGTAGTCGCAGCTGTCGCCGTCATGGGTCTTGGACTCACTGAAGCCGGCGCGGACACAGGCGCCTGGGGACTCTTAGTGGCCGGGGTGGGAAGTGTATGCAGTTCATCGAGCACTTGGCGGCTCTCGAAATCGCACATAACGCCATGCTTGGAGCAGTTTCCGCATCGTGGATGAACTTCGTCGCACTATTCAGAAGGAAAGAACCGGCGGCATTAGTTTGGTGTATTCGCAAGGCCGCTGGAGAGGTTCTCATTCGGGAAGTCGGAGAGGGAAAGCGGTGGGAATTGTCGGGGACTTTTTTTTTTCTCCAATGATTTTTTTTTTTTTTTCATCTTACCTTAATCTTTCGGTTCTTACATCGTCGACACCCCGCGCGCGACTTTTTGTGTGACCGTCTGGGAGGCATAAGGAGAGTTGAGGAATTCAGTATCGACGTCGCTGAAGACGTGCAGCAAGGGTTCTAGATGCGCCACGCACAGGTGGCATCGCCACGCGGGCCTGTCAAGAGCTGGCTTGTGGTCGCTAGATGGTGTCTAGTAAGGGATAAATCGCGAAATCCGACGTGGTTTTCCGGGTCGTTACATGCGCATTGTGCAGCATCCGGCGATGTTGAAGGGCTGGAGCGCGAGCGCCTGGGAGGCCGGGGCTAAAAATGAAGGGTAGTACGTGATGCTAAACCGATGGCGGATAGTTGCCTCAGCACTTCGGATAGATATCGATGTCTGGAGGGGGCGAGGCTTGCATGCATTGCATGGCGATGTTTTACGAGTACGAGGGCGCAGCAGAAGAACATGAGCCTCTTTTTGGTTAATAAGCACTGCCACACGGGGTGATCCTGCGAAATGGGCCGGGCGCTCGTTTCTCCGAAGCAATTGCTAATAACCCGCGGCATCCGGGCCGTTTTTTTTGTGTGTGATCAAACTACGGAGTACCGCCCGTCCTGCGCTGGTGAGTGAGTGAGGATGACGTATTTGGTGAGATGACACGAGGGCTACGAGATAAGATTGACATTGACTGCTATTCCTGGAAAAAGCAAAGCAATACAAGCTTAATGGGCGGCAGCGACGATTAGCGAGATTGCCTTTGGAGTTTTTTGCAGTCTCGCGGCTCCAAAGGAACGACAAACAAGCTTCTGGCAAGCCCTACCTAGGAGAACCCCATAAGGTAAGGAGTAAAATAACAGGTACCGGAGTAAGTACGGAGTAGTCCAAACTACCAGGTAACCTACGGCTTGTTGTGTGTGGATGGCCGGAGCAGACACGGACAAGCTGCAGCATTCCTCCTGAATGAGTGTTAGATGATGAAAGGATGCCAAATCATGGCTACTCGTATATATTTGTTATCTCTTATCTCTGGTTCTCAGCGCAGAATGCTCTCGAAGATAATGGCGGCCGGTGAGCGGCTAGCTGCCGGGATCGACGCACTGCAACCTCTTTCAAGGGGTTGACCGACACCAAGATGTGCGGTACTACTAGCCCTGATGGTTGAATTGCTGTCGAGCTCTATTTTAGTTGCGCTATCCCTTAGTAATAGCCCCTAACGCCTCAATTAGCAGCAAAGTTCAATTAATAGCACAACCAGGCGCAGGTTTAAAAGAAAAAAATCGCCAACTCCATGAACTTCTCCTTTAGGCTACTCGACCCTAGAACCTACCTCTCTCGTAGGACCTACCAACCCGGGCTTTAGGCTATGGAGGCATATGCGGAGCGTACCTATGCACTGGTACATATACCGTCAAGCGAGCAGGGTAACCTGCTGAGTTTAAACTGATACGAGTACTTGGTCCGCGAGAGGTAGTACTCGCATGTTTAAGTACCTTTGTGGGATGCCAGCTCACAGTCATATCAAAAAGATATGGGGTGCGTATCACATGAATAAATGAATTTGCTTATCGGCCGGATTCTCACATTCCGTTTGTTTGCCAGTTTGTGAGATGGGACAGGAAGCATGTATACGAGTATGCACTCTACTGCAGATGCAAGGTCCGGCATGCCAGCAGGATCCCGCGATAGCGGTGCGTGTTGTAGGTCAATATTGACTCGTAACAAGCACAAGCACGCAAAAGCACGTCTCACCCAACAACGCTCAAAGCAGTCCACGTGAATACTTCCTACAGACAAACCCCGTACATGTAACACCAGAATACCCGACGTGGGGAATTCCCGGGCATTGCTCGCTTTCCGCATGATCATTTTTGTCAAATAGTCGCTGGTGGTGAAATGAAAATGATTTATAAGAGGTTTCCACTCTGTGCGAGTTTGTGAGCCGGCGCTGGCCGATGTTTGACTCCTACTAGCTCTGCCCCCAACACTCAAGTGAAACAAGAAAATTAATGAAATAGTAAATGAAAATAATGGCCTTATCTTCGGCTTCACTCATTGCCGCAGGGGTTTGGCTCCATCCTGCGATAGAGGTTCGAGTTGTACAAAACTCCGCGGTGTAAAAGCCCGTGTTATACTTTTGGGCGATGTGTATGTGGTTGGGGGGGAATAAACGCCGTGCTGAAAACGCCGTGTCGGATATCGGAAACCGGATCGATAACTCATCCATTGCCTACTACCTAACTGTACAGCAAAAACGAAGGGGTGGTTGTTTGATTCCCCCAGAGCACTGATGATCTAATTGACTCTAGAGGGGGGGCGGTGAGATTCCATCTGGGTGACAGATCGGAATCGCAAAAAAAAGTATCAGTAACTTCGCGCCCCCATCGCATTGCGTCGCATTCCATCGGTACCAGTGACCGCCACTACTACCCCAAAGACAAATACTACTCGACTGGTAATAGAACAAACAGCTTCACCTTGTAATGGAGGTGCGGATGTCGGTCGGGCTTTTCCTGATTACGGAGGCCAGCGATGGCCGTTGCATACGCCATGACACAGAAGTATCTCGAAAAATGCGGCGCCATATTAGCAATTGAAGCGTGGCTTACATATGTACGAGCACCTACTACCTATCTACTAAGGTAGGGGGGCCAGCCAGGCCGTATTACAAAGGCCGCCTTTTGCGAGCACGATGATGTGATCTGCAAGGGCGGGAAGCAATTTCACGGGGATTGCGTGCCATCCAGGCCTTTTTGTTTTTCGTCTTTTTACATAAAAGGGCGTCGAGCTTCCCCCCTCGGAATTGGCTCGCCATCCCATCCCTACAGGAAACCCCCGAAACGAAGCCAGTGACGCATTACCCACCAGCCCGGCCGATGACACCATTTTTAGAGTTGTCTTGCTCTCGTCCCTGAAGTGGAGCAATTGATTTTTTTTTTGTCCAAAGTTGCTGGCTCTCTTTTATAAAAAAAAGAAATCTGCCCGTGTCCACATAAAGCGCCTCTTTCTTCCTAATCACCTCCTCCTCAATTGTGAAGAATCTCATATATATCCTTCGTGTTGAGCTTGTCTCGCGTCGCAAGATCGAAAGCTTTGAACCAACCAACGTCATCTCCACTCGGGCACTTTTGCACTCACGATTTCTTTTTCCAGGATCCCCCCGAGCTGCCGCAGATAAGATAAAGAAAGCAGACCCTGCATAAAAAAAGCAGCCCCTCCAAAACTCAGGGATCGATTGAGATCAACTCGGGTCTCTCTCACACCACCGCCCCAATTCTCATTCCTTCTTCACACACACACACACAAAAACTCAACACACTTCGAAAACCCCATTCACACAATGTCTCCTCCTGTGACCTCCGACCCCGTCACCACGCCCCAGCGGCCCCCGACCCCCGTCCACGCCTTTGGCACTCTGGCCGTCCACGCCGGCGCTCCCATCGACCCCGCGACGGGCGCCGTGATTGAGGCCATCTCGCTGTCCACAACCTTTGCCCAGTCGGCCGTCGGCAAGCCCGTGGGTATCTACGAGTACTCGCGGTCGTCCAACCCCAACCGCGACAACTTCGAGACGGCTGTGGCCGCCCTGGAGCACGCCCGGTATGCCCTCGCCTTCTCCTCGGGCAGCGCCACCACGGCCACCATCCTGCAGAGCCTGGCGGCCGGCAGCCATGTCATCTCCGTGTCCGACGTCTACGGCGGCACCCACCGCTACTTCACCCAGGTGGCCAAGGCCCACGGCGTCAAGGTCACCTTCACGCCCGAGATCGAGGTCGACATTGCCGAGCACATCACCGACCAGACCCGCCTGATCTGGATCGAGACGCCCAGCAACCCGACGCTGCGCCTGGTCGACATCCGCGCCGTCGCCTCCGTCGCCCACAAGCACGGCGTCCTCGTCGTCGTCGACAACACCTTCCTGTCCCCCTACGTCCAGAACCCGCTGGAGCTGGGCGCCGACATCGTCGTCCACTCCGTCACAAAGTACATCAACGGCCACAGCGACGTCGTCATGGGCGTCGCCGCCTTCAACAGCGACAACCTCAAGACCCGCCTGAGCTTCCTCCAGAACGCCATCGGCGCCGTGCCCTCGGCCTTTGACTCGTGGCTCGCCCACCGCGGCCTCAAGACCCTGCACCTGCGCGCCCGCGAGGCCAGCAAGAACGCAACCACCGTCGCCCACGCCCTCGAGGCCTCTCCCCACGTCATCGCCGTCAACTACCCCGGCCTCGACTCCCACCCCCACCGCCACATCGCCCTCAAGCAGCACCGCGAGGGCATGGGCGGCGGCATGCTGTCCTTCCGCATCCGCGGCGGCCACGCCGCCGCCGAGCGCTTCTGCCAGGTCACAAAGATCTTCACCCTCGCCGAGTCCCTGGGCGGCGTCGAGAGCTTGTGCGAGGTCCCCAGCAGCATGACCCACGCCGGCATCCCCCGCGACCAGCGCGAGGCCGTTGGCGTCTTTGACGATCTCGTCCGCCTGAGCTGCGGTGTCGAGGACGCCGAGGACCTCAAGAAGGACGTGCTCCAGGCCTTGGAGCTTGCCGTCTCCTTCACCAAGAGCACCAACGGCACTAACGGCACTAACGGCCTCTAATTCACCCACTCCCTTCTTCCTTTTTTTTCTTCTTATTTTTATTTTTTCTTATTTTCATATTTGGTCATTTGAATGGGTCATGAGCGTTTTCAATCAAACCTTATAGACGGTGGGAAAGCAGCGTTAAAAGCAGGTCTACCCAGAAGGGGGAAACCCAGGCTGCGATGGGGGGGAACGGGCGGAGGACAAAAAAAGCAGTCTTGGTGATGCATGATACGGCGTGTGAATGTGATTTTCCCGAATGTGGGCTAATCTATTTGTTATGCGGTTTTACTATTTTGGGCTTTTTTTTTGGTTAGGCATTGGGTGTATACAGACAACTATCAAGTTGTAGACAGATGAATGGGATCACGGATCGAATGCCTACTACAGATTTACAGTCACAGACTTTACATGTCAAATCGTAAAAAGAATGTTTCGCATTCTTCTATTGCTCAAGACAGTTTTCCTACTCCCCTTCGCCTCTGCCGTATGAAATTTGGAATCTCAAAGCAAACCCAAAAAGCTGTCCCTCCCCCGGAGTCGACGCGACGGCCACCATTGCTACGCCTTCCACAGATTAAATGCAAAGGTGACCGAATGGCATGCATCAGAGTGCAATATCCACGAGGTGAATCTTTGTAAAACAAAAAATGAAAGCAGTGAAAAAAGAAAAAAGGGGGAAACAAGGTTTAAAAAGCAAAAACGCGCGCAGCCATCATTATGCCCTCGATCATATTCGTCGTCTCGGGTTTCGTTAAGGGGGGGTGATATCACGTTTCTGATGGGAAACAAACAAAAAGTGTACTAGATAACAAATTGGGTTTACAGAGAAGCGAAGCCCCTCAACCAAAGCATCGACCCAGTGTCCTTCTTCATCCTTCCTAGATTGCGTACCATTACCGGGGACTGGGATTACCAGGAAAAAAGCCGGCGGCTCAGACTAGACTCAATGGCTCGTCACATCTAGAGAACGTATGCCATGAGGCCGGCGGCAGCCATGGCAAAGGCGCCGGTTCCCATGGGACCCTGGGTAGCGGCTGCAAAGGCGCTGGAGGTGCTGGTCTGGGCGGCGCTGCTAGCAGACTCAGGCGCAGTGGTGGTCGCAGCAGTGTGGTGAGTGGAGGCGGCACCCTTGGAGGAGGTGGTCTCAGCGGCCGCAGTGCTTTGGTCCAGGCTGCTAATCTCGGCGGCAGTAGGAGGGCTTTGGGTGGCACAGAGCTTCTGGATGTTGGACTTGCAGGCGTTCTGTCCGTCCTGGTTGCCGGCGTTGGTCTGGATGCAGTTGGAGAAGAGCTGCTCGCAGATGAAGGTGGGCAGGGTCTGGGTGTAGTACTGGAGACCGGGAGCAGAGCTGTTGGACGCGCACGTGCAGTCGTACGACAGAGTAGCCTGTGACGAGACAAGTATGGATCAGCGCATGTTCCCTGTTCCGCACAGAGATCGATCCGCGATTGCGGGCAAACCCACCTGGCTACAATCATTCTCATCGGCGTTGTTGTCGCAAAGAACCTGGCAGGTGTTGGTCTGGGCCTGGCACCACACGGCTAAAGTCATGATAATGTTAGCAACATTTTTTTCGCGCCAAACACGGTGAAAACAACAAAAGCAAACCCTCGCCCAGACGTTTGGCGTAGTTTCGCAGCAAAAACACTTCCTCCACGACCAAAAAAAAAATTCGGGGGAATGGCTTACCTCGCTGTTGCTGGGGAACAGTGTTGGGATCAATAGTCATGTTGAGAGAGCTCTTGTAGGTCGGGACCTGGGCCGACACCACAGCAGCGGCAATGGCAACGAAGATGGCGGAGGATCGCATTTTGAAGTCGGTTTGGCTGACAAACAAGGGTATCAAGTTAAGAGATATAAAAAAAAGGGCACAAAGACCACAGATGAGCAACTCCAAGAACGGGGGGCACTGGGGACGCGCGAGGCGATGGCTTCAGAGAAGACAGGCTATTATGCTGATGCTGATGCAGATGCGGTGATGGGGAGTTGAGAGAAGAGGAAACTGAAGCCCCGGTCGAGGATGCGTCCAAGTTATTCTGCTGGTCAAAGGCGGGAGAGAGGGAGGAAGAGAGAGGCTAAGGCTTGCCAGCTGTCAGGGCCGTCACCTAAATAAGAGAAAGCAAGGGCGAGGCCGACGACAGACCATGGGAAAGCGGCGACGGTTTTTTGATTACCGCTAGGACATGGGGCCAACGTGGTGCATGGCCTCGACTTTTTTTTTCTCTCTTTTTCTCTCTCTTTTTTTTTCTTCCTTCTTTCTGGGCGTCCTTTGTCTCTCGCGACGGCAAAGTACCGCCGTCCACATGCAGGTACCTCAAGTACCCCAAGTACCCCAAGTACCCAAAGTAGCTTGGGTACATGCGGCCCCAGTGCCTGAGATGCTCGCGCGGCGTCTGATAGGCTTGGGGACCCGTCAGGGCCAGACATGCACCAGGGTAGCGCCAATCACAGGCTTGGACGGCACCACCATGGCCGAGTTGTCCGTATTGACTAAGGATGGGGTTTCCGTCATGGTGGTGTGGGCATTTCGCATGTATGTACTCGTACTCTACTTGTCTCCTCCGTATCACGTATACGCAAAAAGGGAGACTCGGCTGCGTGTCTTGGTGATATCTACCTTGGTCGGTACTTTTACTTGGTGCTAAAGACGCGGGCTGCTACTGTGCTGTAGGCCGTACGCTCCGTGCAGCTGGCTTCGCATGGCTGAAGCTCTATCTGTCGTCTGCACAACGGACGTATCTTGATGTCATGGAAAGACGACGAGTAGCTGTGTTGCGCCGATTCACGTGGCCGAGGGCGTTCCGGCCTCTTGTTGCGATGTCTGTACTGTACCGTCCTCGTAGCTCGTACTGCGAGACAATTGATGCCTCGTGCTCCCTCCTCAACAGAACAGCGCTCCGTGTCCGGCGTTGCCATGGCGGCGGCTCAACTCAGTCTCGCAGGCGAGGCAACAGCAGCAGCAGCATCGTGAGCCCACCAAAAAGCACAATGTCGTAATGGAGGCGGTCGCTGTCACGGCTCTATTCCGTATCCAGGATGCGCGCCAAGATGCTGGGAGTCTTTAGTCCGTGGTCCATTTGCCCTGTACGAAGCGCTACTGGCACTCGAGCTAGCGGACGCTTTCTTCAGGGGGGCACGATGCGATGATGGCACGATAAGGATGGGGATGGTGAAGCATTGCAGTACAGTAAGAGGAATGGGGGATCCTGTTGCCTGTACTCGTACTTGGTCCACGGGAAGCGCCGCTGTTTGCAATTGAGTTCATGATGCTGCCAACATACTACAATTGCAAGCAACTGAGCCAACCATGCCCAGACCAGAGATGGTTCAGACTCGGTGGAAAATCAGTTTTTGCTCTAGCGACCTTATCCTCCAGCCACCGCCTCGGCTACGAGAATGACGATGCCGTCGTCCAGGACGAGTCTATGCGATGCAACACGAATAAAAAGAAGGTTAGGTTGGCTGTGGCACCCCCTCTCCGCCTCGTACGGTATTGTTCAGTACATGTGACCGTCGGAGACACTTGTTTTGTCTTTTCTTCCTTCGTCGGCTCCCTCGCCAAGAATCTTTACCTACGATAGTGCGCACTCTGTCTCAAGGTGTTTCTCCAACTTAGCCGCAGGGCACCGTCGTCATCGTTGGCACTGCGACCGAGTACGAGTATCTCCGTGCCAGACCTGTACTCGTACATTGTGCTCTCAACATCACCAGCGTGTCATCGCAGAGCGGGAGCATGTCATGCGGCAGCTTCAACGTTACCAAAGGGGGCCGTTTCAGCGCTGCTCTGCTTCTGCTTCTGCTTCTGCATCAGACCGTACGCAGGGCCTGGCCATGTTACTGTAGTGCCGCGTTCCCGTTGCGTGTGTGCAAGTACAAATACCTACGTCGGTTCCGCACCAAATTATTGCAAGAGACCTGCCACGCAACGTCGGCGCCCACACTTGCCGCGGGTCAATTCGGCATCCTCTATCTGATCCGCGACGGCTTCACTGCTGACGCCCTCATTTCCCTTTGATTTTACCCTGACCTCAACGGGGCCGGTTTGCCGTAGCAAAAGGGAAAGAAGAAGAAAAAGCTCCCTCCTTGGCAGAAGAAAATGGAAGCTCCCGCCACAAGCCAGCTGTAAGCTCCGAGGGGGCTCGCCAATCACAGACGCCAATTGCGCCCCGCAACTCGTGCCGATTTCCCCTGGGCCACGCTTGCAGAGACTTGGCGATACCTGACAGGGGTCAAAGGTACATCTGCACGAGCCTGAGGTACCTCGTAGGCACTCTGGACAGGCACCTTGCGCGCCGTCCCTGGATTGAACGGGGCCCGGCCACGACCTATCGCAGAAGCCGATGAAACCTCCTCAATTCAGACAAGACGAGACACGACCGAGTCACCCACCACTTCAGCCTGTACTTGTACTGTACTGTACGAGGGCTCTACTGTAGCTCTATGACTCCATACGTGTACTCGTACACCACCAGCTGGTGAGATCTGCCCCTAGCCTAGCAGCCGTCTCTGCATGCGATTAATCCCATCGGATGTGTGTGGCTGGACATTTGTATCTGTGGCCCTACGCCTCAACACCAACGCATCTGCAGTTGCATGATCGTGATGTCTTTCATCCTTCACCTTTCATCTTCTGCGGCCAGTCATGCAACTGTATAGTACTAATGCCTAGTTTCCAATACTATTCCGTTTGGCTTTCCGTGCCGGCTCCTATCGATGACCGCAAATTATGCTGCCGTCAGTGCTGTTTCGCGCCTTGCAAGCGTCCCTCATTCCGGCACTCCAGAGCCGAGCGGTTGGCCTCCTCTTTCCACGGCTCCGACCTGATGGGCTCTGCTCTACGGAGTATTGGTTCTCGTCTCGAGACAGAATCTCGCTAAGCCAGCAAATTGCCTTCTCCTGGTGGCCCTCGTCATGTCTCTCCTCTTCATCGTATCTTCGGCATGCTGCGTACGAGGACTCGTATATACCTACGTGTAAGAAGAGGTCGGGCGCAGCCAGCTGTCCGGCCTCTTCACTCCACTCTCCTTATTTCAACCAGAGAGGGTCACGGGGCCAGAGGTCGACGCCGGCCTTGTTGCAGCTTGTTATTCCTCATGCATTTGTCATCGGCAGTTAATTTCCGTTGTTTGCCTCACGGTACAAGATGCACCGCGGTTGAGGTTGAGGTTGAGGTTGAGGAAAGACGCCTTTGACACCCTTCCCTGCTGTGTGCTCCGTGACACCAGACGAACCCGTGCAGCATCATGTGTCGGTTTCCGTGCGTATTATTTGATGAACCTGCCAGCGCGTTTCACGCAGGTAATAATGGAACGGGCTGGTGCTGCCCCCTGATAGCGATGGGAGTTTAGCCGTTGTGAAGATAAAGCCTCTCTATCTTTTATCCGCCTGCAAGATGCCGCTAGTCGCGGCCGCCATCCGCCACTGTCCCCACAAATGTACAAACGAACGGCCATTCCCGCTGCAGCTTGGGGAACGTCTTTTTCTTGGGAAACGCTTTAGCTGATGCTGATGCTGATGCTGATGCTGACTTGAGCCTTGCACATGATACGCTTCTCTCGTCGTAGATGGTCCCTATCGGTGCGTATTTAACAGTCTGTCGATAGATTGCCACTGATATTGGAGCATCTTCATGTGTCATCTATTCATAACGGCCTTGATTGTATGTACAATACTAATACCACTTTACAGCTGTGTCGGCCGATCCACCATCGAAAGACTTCACAGGTCTGATTTGTTTCTTTTTTATTATTCTGCGCAACAACAACTGTCTGCCATTCAAGAACCATGTCCAACTTCTACATATTCCCTCTCGTTGAACAGCTATATATCGCATGCACCACAATATTCTCCAAATGCTGCCCCCACGCTCTCGACCAAACTCCAGGGTAGGCCATGACACGAGAAAAGGCCCCGATAAGATAGCGAGCATCTCCTGGGTAGCGCCATCGACGCTAAGACTCCCGAGCTGCATCAAGTCATGTCATCGCCAATCAAGTGAGCCTCGATATATGCAAGCTGTTTATTTACCATCGCCGCAACAGTCCTTCAACTCGCCAAACTAGCTGCTGTTTATCCTCACCCGCCGGACGCTTATAGCTGTGCATTTCCTCCCTTCCAGGCCCAGATGCATCCCGCTCTGGCCTTCAACCCCCCGCCTCCAACCCGCCAGACGACGCGATGAATCGCCTGCCTCCCGAGATCGTCGACGCCATTCTGCTGCAATGCGTCGAAGCAGGCCCCAAGAACTCTATCCTCGACCTTCGTCTCGTGTGTCGAGCCTTTGACCGGATCCTCAAGCCTTACGCATGCCGTACTCTCGAGCTTGAATTCTCGCGCCTTAGCAAGACCAGCCGACTTGGCCGACCTCGGACCGATGCTTTGCAGACGGTTGGGTATCACTGCAAGAGCCTCTACATCGACTTGATGGTTCTTCGCGATGAGAGTAAGATTCGAGGATTGATCAACGGGGAATCCGCTTTGGCTAACTTGGCTCCTCGTCTGCTAGTGGAAGTCGACTTTCTAAACACAGTCTTTGCCCGCGTTCCTTGGATGATGGACTTTTGCCAATCCCTCCAAAACCTCTACTGCATGGGCGAGATGTCGTTTACCGAGCAGGAATACTACGACGCTATAGAGGCTTTGCTCTTCAACTGCCGTGAGGTTGAGCGGCTGCGACTGAGCCTACCATTTCAACTAGTCGGCCGTCACTGTAACGCCGCAACCATCATCCTCGCCAATACCTTCAAGGCGCTGGCTTCGCGTCCAGAAGAAGATTCGGCTTCTATGAAGGTTCTGGTACTGGAGAATGTC